CGCGATGGGGATACAAGGAGTGGACAGCTGAGCACAGATCACATAAGACGTGGTTGCAAGGTTTGGATTGTTATTAGAAATGGAGCTTGTAGCTTTATCTGATCCCAGTGAGATGCAGATGTGGGACATAGTTTAGTATTACACCCAAATTGTCAACAAATGACCACATAAGACATTTCTCCTTCCTATAGGTGTGAGGTCAGAACCTCATAACACAATTTCCTCCGGAGCGCTGTTATTGTTAAAAAATACCAACAAAAAAAAAAAGACGCCTTGTATTTGTATTGTATTCTTGTCACCTTAAGATCACTCTGTTTTTAATGTAACTTGAGGATATTTCCAAATTTACAGTTTACCGTTATTCCATAAGAAGTTGCATCTTGACACTGCCTCCTAACTCCGTTCAAGGACCAATCGTTTGTACTGGAGTGTTTTGTTCTGTTTATTCAAAGTGTGTGTTTGCTGAAGCGCTTCGAGCATCACCGGTGCTCACTCAAATTCAAATACAGGCCAAGTCTTCTCTGTTGACTTTCATAAATAGCACAGTTGTGAACTGAACCGAGGCGGCATTGTATTTGCGACGGTGTTCAACAAGGAAGCAAAGTGATTCTTTTTGTATTTACTCAATGTGACCAAATTGAAGACTAAATGTTGTGCGCAGTGTGTTCACACCAGTAATGATCTTTTTCATCATGCAAGGCAGGATAAGCATGGAGGATTTGGCCTTTAGTGTTGAACTGCCATCACAAGCAGTCCTTGTTGTAGAGCAAACAAAACTGCTTTGGGTTCCCATGAGTAGTGTAGCACAGTTTTTATATCACGCCGTATGCGTAGCCTTGCCTTAAAACTATTTAAAACTGTCACCAACACTGCATCTTTACCCTTGTATTGGGTGTCTATGTAAATACCAGTACGTGTGGTGGTGTTGTGAAGTGGACCGGGAAATGTTTAGTATTCGGTAGAGCTAAGGTTTCTCTCAAGTGTAATTTTGTACTTATTGAAGCAACTTCTGTCAATAAACGTCATGCATGTAATAATCCTGCAGTGCAGAAATAGTTGAGGTAGAGTAGCAACCAATGAACCAAATAGATGAATGTGTTCGCAGAGGTGGAGGTGAACATGTAAAAAAAAAACAACACATTTTGATTTGTGCTTCATAACGGGTACTTGCCAATTTTACTCCTCCATTCAGTACAATTCTACCTCCCTGTTATTTGCCATCATTCCAGTTCAGTTCAGGTTTTTATTCTGAACTTGTGCTTTTCCACACCTTGGGCTCTGTCAAGGGAACGTTCTAAAATTCAACTGGGGGGGAAAAAAAGCATAAATTGGTAAATATACACAGGGCCTCCTTCAAAGGTGGTCCCTCGGTCCCGCCCCAGAAGGGAGTTGTCCTGAGGTCTGAGTGATTGCGGGTTTGCAGTTGCATGTTCAGTATTAAGCACACACGTGCTTGTTACTTTGGTGAGTCTTAACTCCAGATAGGGACTACATGGGTGAGGTCTGCTTTGCTCCTTGAAAGTAGTAATTATCTCTTACCAATGTTTAATTAGATACACTTCTCCCCAGCAACAGTGTGCTGAATCTTACTAGTCTGTCCTTACTAGCATGCTAATTAAGGGGTTGAGGAAAAAAAAAAGTCATTTCATTTCCGGCTATACTAAAGGTCTCAAATCATCAGACTTGAAATGTTCAAAGGTCTGTGAAGTGCAGCATTTGAGGGCAGATGGCCTTTTTTTTTTTTTAAAGCTAAGGTCAGAAGTAGGCTAACTTAAAGGCTGTTCTATCCTTGGAGTTTTCTGACATTACTCCCAAGAATGTTAGTCACTTGAGTTGAGTGGGAGATGAACATAAATTGTTTCAGTCTGATAGAAGTTCTGACCTACAGTGCATTGCTCTTCTCTGAATTTCTTCCCAGGTCAAACAGTTTCAGCTTGTAGCATTGTTTTTTTTTTCTGTATATACTGTTTTGTGAATCTTGTACCTCAGATTGAATTGTTGGTTTGAAATAAAGAACCTATTGTTTATTATCGACTTCCAAATTCATGTCTTTGCTTGTGTTTTGTGGCGCACCAAAATGAAACTCATACATCATTTTAACATCTTAAAACCGATTTTTAAAATGTGAGACTCCACATCAGACAAGGAAAAAGTTTGCAAGTTTGTGCTTGCTGCTCTTATCAGGGGTTCATACAGTCAGAAAAAAAAATCTGGAAAAGGTATTGAAATTGACATGCATCCAGTTAATTATTGAAAAATAAACTTTTCGAAACAATATGGAGAAGAGATGGAAATATGTGGATAATGTTTAGAATGAGTAAAATTGTTTAACGTGCCATTAAAATTTTAATTGGCACAGAAGTGCAACACCATGTTATGTTGAAAAGGGAAACACGCAAAAACATATTTTTGCAAGAATATGTGAATATTATTTCATGTGCCAGCACTACTCAAAACATGGTACCCGGATTAGTACTATGCTTGTGGAATGAAAATTAAATTGACTCATCGAAGGAACAGCGCCATTTGGGAGGAAACATAGACTGAGACCGAAATGGACGAAGAGACACCACGAATAACGGTGCTCATTTAGTACCCATCGAAATTTTAAAAAAGGGTTTCAGCTGCCGTTACAGGCTACAATAAGAGGAAAGTTTGTTTAAAAAAAAGGTATGACAACAATGGATCTATCAGAGCTGCACAAATGTCAGGGTGTCATCATCAAAGGTGATTCATTCATTTTGGCCAATTAAACGGTCTTAAAAGCAGTCCTCATTTGGTAACAACTCATCTTCCTGTGTTGTACTTAATATGAAATTGAATCCCCCTAAATGTTCACAGTTGTTTTGGTTGTAGTAGCCAGCAGCAAATGTGAGCTACATTTAAATATCCTAAATTTGATAGCTGACAGCCTTGTGCTTGAGTGCCTCCCACACAAAGCCGTCCTGTCCATCAATGATCGCAACAGCGCGCCCAGTTCTCACACTTCTCCACGAAGAAACCACACAGCTGTTTTGTAATTTAACCTTTTCCATGTTTTAACACGAACATACCAACATGCCTTGGAAATGACCTTTTCCCAGGATTTTAAAGCCAATACTAACACATTTCTTTGCGATTTTCGCATCTCTCTTACCTCACGGGGGTGAAAAGACGCAATTGTATGGCAGAGGAAATGTGTGTGGTGGCGGGCGTTGTTTATAGGCAGAAAGCCCCCACGTATCAGTGAATATGCATTCCCACCATACTTGCCGCTAACCTACAGAGACCTGCTTCATTTCTTCGATACACTGTAACAAACATGCTACTTACAGGTCATTCAAGTGTAAAATCCATACATGAATATGTGTAATTCTTCATAAATTATTTAGTTGACCTGGATTTTTTTCAATTGAATTCCACACAGGGTGAGCAAGAACACATTTGAAAAAAAAATTAGCCTATCACGCAGGACAGTGACTTGCCATGTTGAGCTAACTGATGAAGACGTGATTAGCAAGCTCAGCAAAAAAAACGTCATTTAGAAATTACAAAAAAAAGGCCTGCTGGTCTTTCCTGATTTGAATGCCAGCAAATTCCTTGACTTTGTGCTCTGCAAAATTTTGGATGACGGTTTATTGGTTGAAGGTGTCTTGCTGACCGTGCAAATTAGCTGCCAATCGATGAGCGGTAGCGGTTCGCTCTTGCACCGACAGGTTTTTTTTTTTAGCATAATTAGCATGCTTGGTGGGAAAATGCTGGCTGATGTAATCCTTTGAACCCGCAAGTGTTTCTTGGCAAATAAACCATGTTAGCGAAAAAGTTTTTTGTTGTTCATTGCTCATTAACTCACCCAGTGCCAAAGACATATGTATAGGTCAATTTGAATGTTCTAAACATTCAGAGGTGTTTTGATGTCAGTTACGTTTTTTTCACGGAAAGAGATGAACGTAGGTTGGACGCAGCTCCTGTTTGAATATAGAGCTTAGGTATAATTTTAATTGGGCACAATCACCAGTAGATGGCAGTAATTTACCATATTAGATATTGATCAGTCATTGTCGACTTTACTTAACTTTGGCCCACTCTTTGCTGTGGCTGGGTGCAAAGATGTTGCGGAGCAGCCTGGTGTCATCACTCGCACTTAACGCACCACTTGATGGGACATCAGGTATTGCATGTGTGCCATCAGTGGCTAAGTAGGAAAGATTGTCAACTGGACCATTTCAATATTGCATACATGTCTCCGGTATCCCTGACCCCCTTGTGGAGTAAGCTATGTTACTAACTATGCGTTTGCTCTGTCTGCTATTGTGATGGATGGAATGAAGTCATAATTATATTGATTTGATTCGAGCAATTGTGTCGCAATTTCATCGATAACTCCTTCAAACAACAGCAAAGTGTATGCAGAAAAAGTGGTTAAGATTGCACGACTGTCTGTGTCTTATGTTGTATTATTTTGTCATTTTCAGTTAACTGTTCTTTTGATGGTGGCGCGGGCACCCGCAGCAGCTCCTCACTCTCCTGTGGTTGAGAGGAACGAAATTTCATCTATTCTGTATGTTGCACATAGAGCACATTTGACAATAAAGTTGACTTGAACTTGAATCATTGGTAGGCGATAATAGAAACATTTGGCCTGCAGGCTGTAGTTTGCAACAACGCAAACATATATAAACTTTACAAGTTCTCCAAAAAGCTGGGTAGTGTTTTAGCACTTTGGAGAAAGGTAAAAAAAAAAAAAATTAAAAAGAACTCCCCGTCGGGGAATCGAACCCCGGTCTTCCGCGTGACAGGCGGAGATACTGTCCACTATACTAACGAGGAAGGTGTAAGAACTCCTACAAAAAGCTTTTTTATTTTGGTATACTTTTTGAGAACTTTTTTAGTATTAATTTAATTTAACCTAGTTATTTACATAATCTCGGTGAATCTAAATAAAGTATGTGGCCTGTTTGTCGGTAAATGGACAGGAGTGGGTTAACCCAAGTCGGCCGCACGACTGTGCGCATGCCTGTGAGGGAGTGAGTTGTTCCCAGGACGTGCACGCGTACACGTTCTCGCCAGTTAGCAAGTTGTTGGAGTCACATTCACGCTTCTTCGAAGACTGTCGACCAAACTCGGTTATTTGAAACAAAGTAAGTAAGTGTGTCTTGATATTATTGGGTTTTTATCAAATTAGACATTTTAAACATGTACAGTACTCTGTTTACTTACGTTTGTTTGTCGTACTTTTCGCCGTTTCTTGCGTATGAATTAAACTTTTTTTGGGGTCCCAAGGCAAAAAGTGACTTTTCAAAATACCGTGTTGAGTATTTTGGCGTGTTGTTGTGCTAGAATCCCTGAAACAACTTTTTAAAATCATCTAACCCAACGCAGGGCATGAATCATTGTCAAACTCGAAAGGACGTTAATGTTAAATGTAGGCGCTTTTGCTGTCTCTTTAACTAACTTATTAGCCTTCTTCGCTTCATGTTGAAATTGCAGCTTGGTAAAAATGTTCACTGAAAATAAGTTAGGAACCACTTAGTTTGGCAGGACAGTAACAGCTGCGTCCCATTTATTCAACTGTTTTTCAATTCTAACGCTTTTATGTATATTTACATGTATAAATAATTGACTTGAGAGATGTATTAATTTAACAGTATGGTTGTAGTGTGCTATGATGTAGAGATTCCTTTTTTTTGGCCGCTTTCATGCAGCTCTTTGAACATTTTATTTCCCTGCAAACTATAATCACAACTCTAAACTGCAACCTACAGTATTTCCTTTGAGGCAACACCAATTACAACAAAACAACCCATGTTGCCGATTTCAATGAATGTTTGTTTTTTTTGTGGTTGACAAGCAGACTCTGAGGAACAATCAAAACCATTATTCATTCCGGTTTTGAAATAGTGCAAGATTGTAAATGCAAAACTCCGTCTGAATCACGTTGATGGTCTCTGGGAGCCCCCTCTTTGTCACCACCGATGAATCATTGTCTCCACAAATATCCCATGACATCACACACTTGATCAACCTCCGGATGATATCACGACAGAGAGAGACCTTTTTCCTTTATCTGTATAGTTGCCATTTTAGTCCAACCATTTGTACTTAAAACACATACACTGTTGGGAAGAAGACTTCGTGAGAGGCTTACCCCCGAACTGGTTGCCTGTTCTGTGAACCAGTGCACTACCAATGATCATGTCAATGAAGATAATGAACTGTATCCCGTGTTGGTACAGATGTGTTGAAGCAGGATTGTATGACCATATTAAAGGCTTTTATTACTAGAATAAAGCACAGGCTTGACAGATGTTTAAATGGGTCAGATATTGATATAATGGCAGAAGGTAGGTCGAGACCTATTGCCTTCAGGGCTGTTTTTGGTTCATGCCGGGCCCATTAGACATACTGCCATCTGCCACTCATGCTGCCGATAATACAAGGGTGGGGAATTTACAGATCACCACTCTTAAAAATAAAAGTGAAGAGGAATTGTCGGGGGAAAAGAACAAACGCCTTTACAAATATATTGAATCGCTGCGTGATATGCTTAGAGTGACCTATGTGGTTTTCAGCTGACCACATCTCCAGCCTTCATCACTATTGAAGAAACTTATTTCTAAAAAGTGATGTGGTAAAAGTGGCCGGGGAACGAACAGCCTCGTCATATCCTGCACTCGACTCTTGTTTGTTGACGCTGTACCCAATGTAATGTGGTGGGCACATTGTCGGAGAGCTGTTTTCGGAATAGGGCTCTGTTTACAAACAATGTGAATTATAGCTAAACCATTTTAATCTATATGACTGAGGTCCATCTCTCCACAAAGAAAATCTTCTTTAAGGATTATATTCTTGCATGACTTTCAGTTGTGTGATGTAGGCTTTGTAAGCCAGGGTTCAGCACAAAATTGTGGCGATTTGGGTCATCCAGCCCATCTAGCCAGCAGATGCTCTTTTCACGAGTCAAATGTTTTATGGTGATTATACAAGTTTTGTTGACCCCCAAAAAACTACACTTTTTACGACTTGTATTATATGACATATTTTATTATTTACTAATTTATGACCGCTCAGGAAGTTACCATAGCAGACATTTTATTCAGAAGTGGGCAATGTAAATAAATAACACAATTTGTATCAACTATGTTGGTACTTTTTGTTGCTATTGTGACAGTAAGATAAAGTGAGCTCAACAATTCTGTTGTTATGTTAAAAATGTGTTCATTAAAAGAACAGCAAATTCAATTGCCTTTTCCAAACAGTTACTATTGTCTCATTTGAAAAATGACCTATAGGCATGTCAGGTAATAGATTACCACATTGACTTTGTCAAGTCATGTGTTCAATATTTTCTGTAAGCTTAACCAACCATACATTTGTGGAAAATCGTTGGCCTTTCGATTATTTAGCTACCCCATGTTGTCAATTAACCATAATGGCTAGTTATAGTTTTTATGCCCGTTGACAGAAAAGGCCTGGCTATGGTAAATATTTATTTAGCACTTTTGGAGCACTGCCCTCTCATCCTGTCTCGAGAGAGCTCTATAAAATGTTCCTACTGTTCTTGTGTGCGGTGTTGGTCTGGCCTACAGCTGTGTCTCGAAGGAAAGTATTGCTCACAGAGAAGCTACTGAGATGCAGTCAAACACGTAGACTTGTGCAGTCGTGCTAATGCGACTGTGACAAAGAATAGCAAACTAGTCGCCGAGCAGACATCACTATAACAAGTCCAAACTCTGTCTCGTCAGACGGCTTCGGTTCCTCTTTTTCAGGCTGCTACGTCATCTGGTCACACTGTTTACTCTTTTGCAAACTTGTTGCAGCAAGTAAACCCGGCTTGCATTTGCTTTTGATTACATTAGCATGCTTCTTCACCATAGTGTGTTTTCCCGGCTGATCTAGACTTTCGGGTCTTTGTCAAGAAACTTAAAAAAAGAAAACTCCACAAGTCTGATGTCAGAATTTGTCAGAATGCTAAAGAAATGTTGAATCACACCACAGGGCCAGTATTATACAGATTAGAGCTGATTGCGAGGAGGGTGCCTCATGGAGAGGGAAAAAAAAGTCTCTGGACACTGAATCTTAAATTTTCCGTTGTTCTTTCAACATGGTTTGACCTTCTCCCGAGTCCTGCTTTTGGATAATTATCTGTTCTCCATGTGTGTTTATATGTTTCTGGCTATCCCAAAAGTAAATGTAACCACTGCACCCGTGTTTACTTCTGTCTTGCAGAATCGCTACCATGGCAAAGGGATGCATCACCGTCACCAAGTACTTTCTCTTCCTGTTCAATCTCATTTTCTTTGTAAGTAAGCATCGATTCACAAGCACACATTTTGTCCTGTCTCACTTCGTCTTTACTAGAAATCAAATGGTTTACAGTTATTGTTGCTCCTGTATTTGGCATCATGTTTTCCTGCTATTTAGGGCAACACTTTTTTTTTTTTGCCACTTTGTCTTCAATTTGTTGCTATGTTTAGAAAGTATTCAGAGCCCCCTGAGACCCTTTCGAAAAAGACTAGTGACAATTCTTGTGACTTTTTTTCTTGTTATTGGAAGCTTTTTCACAACTCTTGAGCCTCTTTCACAGATGTAGTTCATGGCGGGAGATGTTTACCTGAAAATTGTGATTACACACGGCCTCAGCGCAGGCTGGTCGAAAGCACAGCAGATGGTTTCTTGAGCTTTATTGCCATCTTGCTTTGACCAGGCACAACATAAAGTCAGGGCCAGATAAAACGCGACTCTTAAAACGCACTCTATGAGGATGTCTGGATTTTTCCGATGCGTTTGTATTCCTGAAAGAAAGCTTTTGATGTGCGTATTAGGAGGTGTGTGTTGCTGTTTGTCCATGTGTTAACTTCAGTGGACGCCAGGAACTAGTGGGCTAATGATGACCGCCGCGGGCTCAATAGTCCCACTAAATGAACATCTCTCAACATCTTAACCAGGGCTTTAATTATTGTTCACGTGCTGGGGAGGGGTTCCGCAAGCACTCATCTGCTGTTGCCCCCACCCCTGCGCCCCGAAACAGTGTGGCCCTCAACCTCACATCAAGGGTCTGCTCTGAACTTCATGACCTAATTAGTAGGATACAAGAAGTTTGGGGGGGCTGTTACATACAAAATCCTAAATATTCTACTCATTAGAATCATCTACATCCTGGCGAATGCACAGGAACACACCGAAACAACGCAATAAGACCTGTTGTGTGATAATGAAAAGAATATACATTTGGAGTACTGTATTTGAATCCTACACATGGGTACCTTAACTTCACAGTTGGAATATGAAGGCATTGAATCTTGTGTAGCTTGTTGATCATTTAGTCCCGTTCCCAGCCTTTTTGTTTGTTTGTTTGATGAATTGGATTAATCCCAGATGTGCCTCCATTGAAGGCACCCCAACAACAGCTATTTAATTTTAACTTTAGTCTAGGGTGGCTGACCCTTCTCTGCTGTATTTATCTTTGTAGGTCTTTGGAGCGTTGATCATGGGCTTTGGACTATGGGTTCTATTTGATAATCAGAGTTTCATCGCTGTTCTACGTAAGTACCTTAACACACACACACACACACACACACACACACACACACACATGCGTGCGCACACACACGTTCATGCACAAACACCATCCAACTGCCACGTCTTGGTGTGATAATGCTCCGTAAACATTCAGCACATTTAACCCGTGGCAGTTCTGCTGACCGGAGACTGCCTGCTCTGTGCAACATGTGTGGATCGCCTCCCAAGAGGCTTAGTGCAGAGCAGCCATGTAAAAATGTTCACACCAGACTAAAAAAAAAAAAAAAGCACCTAACTGAAACATGATGACTTCTGCAGATCCTTATTAAAAGTTGCCTTTTGGGTGGGGGGGGGGAGGAAACACAGTCGACTGAATAAACAGCTCACCATTTCCAGACTTCTCAAGTTGTTTAGTCTTATGACAGAGAATAACACCTTATTCCCATGCGGAATTGTACCTTGAACCCAGCAGCTCTCAACACAATCTCACTTCCCCCCAGCCCCCCTACAGATGTTGTCACCGTTCTATTTCTACCCAAGGATCCAAAGCTTCCACAGAGTTGCAAACAGAAACATTATCAGCACAATGATAACCATGTCAAAAAGAATAATGAAACCAAATTCGAGCTTATCCTGCCAGAATGGAAAGTCATCCTGTGTAAAAAAAAAAAATCCCTTCATCTACGCTTTTGCTACATTCATTCCAGATGTACTTGGTATCTTTGCTTCGAGTTACAAAGTTTCCTTCTGTTCTAAATTGTCTACCCTTTTTTTATGGTTTGAAAGGTAAAATAAAAATAAATAACGTTACTGAGATTTTTTTGCCTGTTTGTCGGCAGAAAAAAACACTCAGTCGTTCTATTTTGAGGACACGAGGTCCTTGCAATGGAAACGAAGGGATGAATGAACTTTTATCTATTCGTAGCAAACTACAGGAAGGATTGATTTAAAGCGTCTATCTTTTTTTTTAACAGGTTTTGCCCAAGCTCAATTTTAGACTAGCATGTCACACCACTGTGCAATGATTTCTGAGAACAACCCATACGCAACCCATACATTTAGAAGCCATTCTCTCGTACCAACCAAGATTGACCTTGTATGCTTCACAAGTCATATTTGACTGTTGTCTTCTTCCTGCGGCTGCCCAGAGAGGAAGCTCACCAAGGTCATTAAAAGCTGAGATGTTTTTTTTGCTCACCACTCAAGGAATAAAGCGAAATTAATTATATTTGTCATCCCCTCAAGAGCCAGCAGCACTGTTATGAGAATCCATCTGTCCCTCCAGAGATACAGTTGTGGCTATTTTTTCCTGATGCACGAAGGACATCCCGTTCCATATGGCACTTGGGGACTTCTACTCCATACATTTTCCAACCCTATCGTCCTAGAATACTGACCTCGGTGAAGATATCCTGCTGCTGTGCATAGAAAAACAAAAACAAAACAAAAAAAACTGAACAAAGCTTTGTGCAGCTATGTTTATTGATTCACAATATTCTCTGAAGTTGTGCCATTGCTGGGCATAAACAGAATCTCTTTGTCTACAGTTTCCAGTTATTATAAGCTCTAGAAATAGAAGCGTGTGTAGCCGCTTCAATAACTGGAGGCAAAAAGACATTGGGAATGTTTTGGTGTCAAAAAGCATTTTCTCTTCTTGCCTCACACACGGCTTTCCATCGCCGGTGAGCAAGGTTATTTTCGGAGTCGGAAACTAAATAAATCGGTCAAACTAAAATTGAAAAAAACCCCAAACATTAAAATAAAAATGAAAACCCTTTAAAAAAAAACCCAAATTAACTGAAACTATGTTTATGAAACTAACCAAATCTAACAATAATTATAGCGAAAATGTCCCTCGTCTTCATTTTTGGCAATTAATTTCATGCATGAGCCATGAGGGTTGATTTTCAATGTATTTATTTTGATAATACTGCACGGAAGAAGAAAAGGTTGAACAGTTGTCTAGGAGTTGTAGTCCTCTTCATGTGTGTCACACGGAAGCGACGTCACCAAGCAGCAGCCAACAAGAGGAGGAGACAAGCCTGCGTTTGGTTTTGGTTTTGGCTTGAGTGGCTCCCCTACTTTTGTCACATTTTCCGGCACCCTAAACAGAAATAAATTTAGAAATCCAAACTTCTTCATATAATTATCTGTAAGAATGCACAACCATTACTTTTCTCAGAGTATATGCTTGCTGGATCACGGGTTGAATTTGCAGAAAGATCTGCATCGCAAGTTCATGAAAGCCACCCAAATTATTTTCGAGGAGACTTGCAGAGAAGTGAGGCACGGTGCTTTATGGAATATCGTAGTGCATAGGTCAACATTTTCTGACTTGAGCCATGTGCATGTTTTTAGCCCAGAAGAAGACAGCAGGAAGTCGATAAAATCTATTTCACCCCACAGATTAGATACACTTGGCAGAGGGCCAAAGAGGAAATACTTCAGTGGAATTTAACAAGCTTTTTCTTTTCAGAAGAGACAAACTGCGCAGTAAAACTTCCATCCATCCATTCATTTTCCGATCCGCTTATCCTCACAAGGGTCGCGCGGGGTGCAGAAGCCTATCCCAGCCGTTTTCAGGCAGTAGGAGGGGGACACACTGAACCGGTTACCAGCCAATCGCAGGGCACACACAGACAAACAACCATCCACGCTCACACTCACACCTAGAGACAATTTAGTGTGTTCAATCAGCCTGTTTTTGGAATGTGGGAAGAAACCGGAGTACCCGGAGAAAAATCACGCAGGCACGGGGAGAACATGCAAACTCCACACAGGAAGGCCGGAGCTGGGATCGAACCCCCAACCTCTGCACTGTGAGGTCGACGCGCTTAACCACTCGTTCAATGGGCCGCCAGTGGCAATTTTCTCAACGCTAAATCAAGACTGCGATTGTGTTGACATATGCACAAAAACAGTGAATGCCAAAATGGCAATATGTGGGGCTTTGCTATAAGTTGTTCAGTAATTGTTGCACACTTCCATATGTTGACAAGTCGAATCACAATAACAAGATGGAATAAATTTACTGCTGACCTCCGTATGACCAACCCGTGCTTTCTAAACTCAAGTGCATTACTCAAATGTTTATTGCCACACTTAATGTCTTTATAAGAACTGTGTGTGCTTTTGTTTTTGTTCTTGTTACCCAAAGCATAATTAAAATAAGTGGCATTTCCTGAAGCTTGCCTGGGTGATAAAGGCAACCAGGAAAGAGGTGTACTGTAGTTTGTGCCAGTCCGCTTTGTGTGGGAAGATTTGCGAGCAGTAGTCTCGTATTACTGATTTAGCGCATGATGCTTATTTTTATCATGTCTGCCTTTAATGAGACGACCACACAACCATGTAAGATACCATCAGCAGATAATTTAGAAGAATTGTATATGTCGTCGGTTGCCAAGAAGCAACAAATTGCAGCCGTAGATAAACTGCTGCAACTGCCAGACTCCTCTGAACGATGTCGAATGAATTATCTGATTCTGGCCACTTTGCTCCACCTTGGAAATGTCCCACGACTCTTAGTTTCTGTTTTTTGTGCAACTCTGAGTCCTTCTATTTCATTCCCCCACTGTTCCAAAAAGGGCAATCAATTAATCTCACCACATATTTTAGTTTTCTTGGTTCAACTTTCGACTGGCTGACAATGTCAGATTTTTTGGTGGGGAGGGGGTGAGCGGGTTAACTGTGTTTGCTCTGAGAATCTTTTTTTTTCCCCCTTGCTCAGTGTCGCGAGCCATATCAAATTGTTTTGCGTGTGAATAAGCACAACATCTTAGATGTAATAGTTTGGAATTCTTTTCTGTGGTTACAGCTGATAAAGAAGAGCAAATTTAGGGGCGTGGCTGCTTATCTCCCAAATAATTCCCACAGTGTAGTTTGAGTGCTAACAGTGCTTTAAATTTAAATTTAAAGAGTCAAGTCAAAAATTTTCTTGACGCTAAGATGGTCGACGCTCCCCCACATTTCTTAACCTGGCATTCTGAGTAATATTGCATTTGTGGCTCCGCTTATGAATGTCACATGACCAAACTCCGAACACAGGTGAGCCGTGATTGGTTATTTCTTGGGCCCGTAATGTCATTTTTCAGTCGACAGCAAGTGGCAAAATGGCTCCCCCCTGAGATGGATAAAAACAAACACAATATATCAGAAAACCACATTCAGACAAGTGAGGCCCCATAGAATATTTTTTACTTGACTTCCTCTTCAGAAATTTTTTCCAACTCCCATAACAGAACCAGTTGTGTGTTTTTTTCTCTTTTCTACAGAGGAATCGTCAGACACGGTAAAAGTGGCTTCCTACATCTTCATCGGAGTGGGGTCCTTGTCAATGGCCATGGGCTTCTTCGGCTGCATTGGGGCCATCTATGAAATTCGTTGTCTTCTTGGTCTGGTGAGTACAGAAATGTGGAACTGTCAACGTGAAGTCAACATTTTTGACTGGCAAACGTGTTCAAATTTGCCCATATGTCCAAAATTAGCTATTCTTTCCCCATAATGCCATGAGGTATTGACTTGCTCTTGCATATATATACCCCATGGCATTATGGGAATATATTTGGTCATGTGACATGCCCTTAGAAACCGTGATGTCATTTTCAGTCAACAGAAAGGGGCAAAATGACCACCACCTATGATGAATAAAAACAGGTAGATTTTGCTGCTCGTGGAGGTACATAGAACATGTGTCAAGAAAAAAAGTTTGATTTAACTTCCTTTTTAAATATTGGCTCGCAAAACAAAATTACACCAATTCAGCCTTTTCCCCCCAGGTCCCAGGTCCTTATTTATCAATAAAGTCATTTAAAAATATATATCTAATTATTACATCATGGTACATTTTTCTGCCATACCCAAATGCTGATTCGAATAGGAAATTAAAACAAAAACGATGTGTGGCTTGAGCACCTCATCGAGTGATCAAGTTTTCATTTTGGTCCAATTTAAACGAGCAGCAACAACACGTCTCTGGTTGTATATCCTTTAAAATGGTTCCGGTAATGATGTTAAAACAGACTCCCTGAAAGTTTGCCAAATACTGGATGGACGCTGTCAATTTCAAGCAAAATAGAATGCACGACTTGGCTACCCCTTCTACTTGGCAACTGTGGCAAATGGTCCATTACCTTCCTCAAAACAACACATTCCGAGAGCAATTCTTCGAATCCATTAAAAGCCCCGACAAAGCGACGACAGCAAATCACTGATGAAACAAATACTGACTGCAATCTCTTGTATGTATGTTGTCTTTGGTTTCTCACTCCAACTTGAAAATGTGAAAGTCATGTAACAACTAGCGAAAGACCGCATCTTCGTCATGACCACACAGCAAACTAAGTTTTGTTGTGTGGTGGCAGGCGCTCTTCCCATGAGCACCCAGGGTCAGCCTTAACAAATTTACATTAGTCATCGAAACTTCCCGTAATTCCCGAACATTTCTCTCTTCGACTGAAATAGAGAGAAACCTAAAACCATGCACCCTGTCCCCAAAATTTACCACAGCAGTTAATCATCCCTATATTGGCATTCTCGACTGTCATTTCGAGCTATTGTTAGAACAGAAGCCACGCATTTCCTTGCAAAGAAAAATGCTCGTAATTGCACCTGCTTCAGGTCCACATGCCTGCTTAAGAACACGTGACAAATTCCTGCTGACAGGAAAGCGAATCACGTCTCTACTTACATGTGCTCGCAGCATGTGTTGACTGACGGAGGTGGGTGCATGGGGGCGGAGAGGGATAAAAAGCCTGTAAGATGTGCTGGGTGGAGGGGTGGGGGGTGCGTGGCCTCTTATGTCGGCAGTTAATTGTAGAGTTGTTGTTGACCTACTTCTTTTCCAGTGACAGTGAGGAGCTGCCACGGCACCTCCTAATAATCACGAAAATGTGCAGCTAGCCTTGGAGATCGCTAAAGACGCGATATGATTATTATAGTTATTAGTGTTCTCCTCTCCTTGGGTTTTTTGTTTGTAATTTTGCTTGAGTGCCGCCACACTGCTGAAGAGGTCTCGGTTGAACGTTGTTCTCATTGTGTTCATTCCCCCACCCCCAACAGTACTTCACCTGTCTGCTGCTCATCCTTATCGCCCAAGTGACCGCTGGAGTTCTCATCTACTTCCAAAGAGATCGGGTGAGACGCTCACTTCCGTGTTCTTTTCGCGGCTCTCGCAGCCCTACTTAGAATGCTGCTTGCCACCTTTTCCTCCCATTGCTGCAGCTGTGGCCTGCCGGGTGTTTGTGCTTCCTCGTGTCACAGCTGCGAGCGTAAGCCTCCTGCTTCCTGTGGTGGAACCCCGTTTCATAGCTCGACAAGTGGAAACTCACAGGATGATGTTTTTTTTTTTTTTTTAATGTGACGCTGGGGGCTTTTGGTAGATGATGTTGATAGAGAAGTAGTATAAATAAAATACAGCAGAGTTTTATTGTCCCACGTTCACCCAACTTTTTTATTTTGTTAGAATAATTCTAACAATGATAAATATGAACCCATTCAGGGACAGCGGTTACTACAGTGGACAGCTTATTCGGTTACAGGTTATCATTATTGGTCCATGAAAGGGTGAAAGTCAGGTATTTTCACTGTCTCTGTGAGAAACGTAATTATCCTGAGTCTTTGAGAATACAGGAACCCCCACCGGGGAGGGCTGTAACTCACTGGTTTCCTTGGATGTTTTTGCTTTGCCATTGAAAAAACACAAACCTAAGAATACGGACATAAGAAATGATCATCATAATCCTGATTATGAGCACATGTTCAATTTCTTTGCAAATTTTGCAACCTGGAGATGACCAGATCATGCTCAGTTGTATGTGTGACATTATTCGAGCAGAGGAAGTTAAGTGTAAAGAAATGTAAAAGAAAAGCTGATCAACCTGCCATTCGACACAGCATCAAAAGCATGAGCAGCAAAGTTGGAGTTGTTGGAGTTGGACGTCTCAAACTGGCCTGTCACTTGTGAGTCACCTGCAAGCGCAATTGGCCCAAAATAGATCAAACACAACATCCTTCCATTGGATATACTGCTTTACCAGAAACAGCGTTAACCACTTAAAACCACCTAGTCACCAAAATAGCTCGTGGGGAGGGGACTTTTTGACCGCCATACATCAGAACTACAAAATACATAACATTTGTCCAAGTCAAATTAAAACAGTACTGATTTCATTAATTTAGGCTGAACTAAATTACCAGCCACAGTGTCTTTGTGCAGTGTGTGGAGGGTGTGTTGTATTTGAACACTCCCAGGAAGGCCAATTGAGGGCTTTTGTTGTCCGTCCACGGCTCCAGACTTTGCCGTTCCTGCTCTCCGGCAAGCGTCTGTGCACGCCCCCGTGAGCCTGGACGTGTTCCTTGTGTTTAAGGCTCACCACAGGGCAGGGCGGTGCCCCCCCTTTCCCAGAATAGGGTGAGGTTGTATCTCCAAAAGAGCTCTGAAGGCTCTCACGCTGCCACAGCCCTGTGATCTAGCACACCAACAGACGCACAGGCTGCATTTTCGCAGCTTTTCAGCTCAGCGTGGCACCTGACAGGCCCGCTACACCGCTGCCGTGGCCTCGGGGAAACATTCGGATCAGATGTTGAAAGAAAGACATGGGTGTGTTATTTGCCAGTCAGAATACATTATATGTGGACAACATCCATGACACATCCCTGTCCTACTTAAAAAGAATTATTGTGCTATGAATTAGAGCTGAACAATCAATCAAATTCAAATCGACATGACAATGTAGTCGAATGCAATTTTCTAATCACAAAGGCTGAAATTTAGGGGAGGAGTTGCTCAATTGGGGTCCATAGGTTGCCATTAGATTCTTATTTCAAAATCGTCCAGCCCATCTATGAATGTTAATCAAAGCTCTTCATTGTTTTTTTACTAGTTGAAACATGAAATGTCCAACATCATCCAAGGCATGATCGTCCACTACACTGGCCAGAACAAAACCACAGAGCACACTTGGGACTACATCCAGAGGACGGTGAGTTGATGCCGACGTCAATGATGATGAAGATGGTGCTGGTGTTTCTAATTTTGCCAACGGTTTTCGATTTTAGTCCCAAGTCATTTCCCCACGATGTCATGGTTGTTGTAGTTTATAACTAAAAGGTTTATAGAACAAACTTAAAAGTATTTTCTGTCATATATTCCTTCTAAAATGTTGCTGAGCAAAATGTCCACAAGCCAATATGTGTCGTTAATGTACATTAAAAACTGGTTTGCAACCGCCATTTTGCAGAACAATAAACAAGAGTACCCTGAAAACAACTCAATGAGACGCTCGTCAAAACGCATTCAGTATTGTGTCTGTTACTGTAATAAGTTGAGCTTCCACCTTCGCTGGAGGTGCTGGAATATGTTTGCGGTATTGAAAACTGGTGGAAAATGACATTCGACAAGCTGCGCGAAAATGAAGTTTATTTTTGTCGCGCTTGAGGAAACAATCAGCTTCCCACTCACATCACACATCCCCCTCTCTCATCACAGATGAAGTGCTGTGGGTGGACGGGGCCTGGCAACTGGTCTGACAATCTGCTGCTCAAGAACAGCTCCCAGCATCTCTATTCGTGTTCCTGTCGTAACGAGTCCTTGCCCGGCACTGACATCAAGGTGGAGGGCCTGTGCGAGCACCTGTCCTCTGATCTTCCCGTCTACCAAACGGTACAGCCACTCTCAACGATGTTTGTTGAAGTGCACTTGCTCTTTAAGAAGACTTCAACTTGCTGAGTCGGCTGATCTTTTCAGCTTTTTCCATGTTTTTGCTTTGCTCTTGCCAATGTTTTGGCTTTACAGTTTTCATTGGCCCGAGCTATCCTGCACATCCGCTGTGGCGAGCTATTTTTTTCCTTTCGCTCTCAATGTCTTCAGGTTATATAATAACACGAGGCTGGATAATTAATGGTGTTTTGTTTTGGGGTTTTTTTTATACAGTATATTGCATCCCCGTTGATGTGCACTGCCTCCACTAACAAAACGGCTGCGAACAAAGAGTAAAAGTCAATGTTGCTTGCTAACTTGGTCGCTATCTCTAGCATACGTCTTACATTGCATTTTGACAAAAGTGAAATTTTTCAAACTTATTTTCACGCTCATGTTTTCTGAGATGGAAAAAAAAATGTCTTTCTATTAAAACAGATGCAAATTAGTGAGCAGAAAAAAGCTTGTTTTGGTTTCAGGAAAAATAGAGCAAATCACAGAAGAGGAAATTTACACAGCCAACTAATCTTGACTGCGTAAAGGTATCAACATGAACGTTTAGTTTTCTCTTTTTGACATGAGTCTGTTTGGCGCATATTTCCGTAGCATTCCTGTTGTTCCGTTGTCAACCAATCGACGAGCGGCCACGTTAACTGCTCCATCCTTTAAATACAATCCACAGGTGGTTACCCACAAATTACTGTCGTGAAATGGTCCAGTACACGACTGTCAATGCCACAACTTTTGACAGTGGAAATATGAAAATAAATTCTGCGTCTGCTGTCAGTAGTCATTTTGAAAGCTCATTTTACTGTTGCGGTCATCACAATTACACAAAGCACTGCACCGCGTCTATCAGGTCAGGGAAGCCGAAGAGCAACACACTGGTCCATGTGTTGCCAAAGTTAATAGTTGTGTTTTAAAAAAGGATGGGATCACTTTCATCTCTCCCTTTGCTAACAATTTTTTTCTCCATTGCTTCCTCTCTACTTGCCTCTTCAGGGGTGCATGACCAATGTGGAGAAATGGCTTCTGGAGAACTGCGGCGTTATTCTGGGAATCTGTGTCGGAGTGGCAGTCGTGGAGGTACGTATCCATTTTCTCCTCACAGTAGTGTTCAAGCAAATAGTAGAAGATTCGTCCTCCAGAGGAGAGTGTTGTGTTGCGGTGGCGCCATACTACACAATCTCATCGAAATTGATGGGAGCAACATAAAATTCAAAAGCCTCACGTCGGCATTCTCCTCGGATACAGTTAAAATGTTTGTGAATGGCTCAGAAGTGTGGCTCGTCATGCCCGTTTTCCACAGTGGATGTATGTGAGGAGGCGTGATTGCAAAATTGGCAGTGCATGAGAAAGAACGCACACCTGTTTGGATGATTCATGGCTTCATACGTACTTGCTTACTGAACAGAAATGCTGCATCCACAAACTGATGATACAAACTGGGGATTTAGTGATGTTCCGCTGATCTGTTTTTTTTTTTTTTTTACGGATTCCACTGGTCCCAGTGCCCTATTTAGTTCTAGTTTGCCAATCTGACACCACTGCTCGGTTGATGGTAGACAGAAGTGAGCATGTGTGAAGTTCCACATACGCAGGACGTTCAGTCACAAAAGTTTGCTCTTGCAACGTTTATGGCCACTGGTAATTGTTCGTCATCTCAGTGAAAGATTCAGCATGTTACTGTGTATGGTATTTTGCCACGATAATAAAAATCATATTCTGATTATTATTTTCATTAATTTATTTTTAAACCCCATATGACCCCCAAAATGTGATATGTGAATTTTTGAATGCCACAATAAGAAGTGTAGGCCAGCTTTTGTTTTCCATTAGCAGCAATTAGCAACAAACATTATCGTCATGCAAGTTCTGTGTAGGGCTTGTGCAATCTTTGCCATACACTGAAATGATCAACATTGATTAGAAGCCATATTGGTAGCTGATTTGGATTTACCACAGTGTCAAAGTAAATGATATTTTACAACAGAAGAAGGAGCCCTTTAAAAAAAAAAAATGTTGCTGGCCGAATGACCTCTTCCACTTGGAACAACGTGTAACATGTTACATTGCAACACACTTATTACACTTTATTGTCACTGTTTTTTTTTTTTTTTCCCCCCCTGACAGCTTCTTGGGATGATCCTCTCCATGTGTTTGTGCAAGAGTGTTGTCCAGGAAGATTACACCAAAGTACCCAAGTACTGAAGTGCCACTCACACATACGAACATGTGTACGTCCCTCTCTCGCTTCCTATCTCATGTTCCTATGCGCGCGCGCACACACACACACACACACACACACACACACACGAAGGCAGAAGTCTCCCGCATTCGAGCTTCTCCTGCCTTCTTGACAGATTTCTCACATCCTCAAACACGATCAAGATTGACACACTTGTTTGCTATCGTTCACAAGTTGCCATTGTTGTCTTATTATAATAATAATAATAATTGTTATGATTATGTATTTTAAAGGAGACTGTGAGACTGTTTCTTATTTTCGGGGGTGGAAGGTTATCCATTTGAAAGGATGCAAATACTCAAGTACGATTTTTTTTTTTAATGTTTTCTTTGGTGTTTCCTTCTGTTGACCTCAATGAAGCGCTTAAAAGACTAAAAGAAAGTGAGAGAAAGAGCACTTTGTTTAGATTTGATGGAGTCGAGACGCCGGAGACATTCCTCACCTCTGAGTACCGAGATGAGAGAGAGTGAGTGGGCGTGTGTGGATATTAATGCCGTTCAGATCCTGCAGCTTCTACTCCCGCCGCCACTGGGTGGAGGAGGAAAAAAAAAGCCTGAGGCAGGGCCGCTGCGGTGGAGGTCTTCGCTTCGAATTCCGCCAATTCCTTGTACCCCTGCGCCTCTCCTGTTTAATCCCACCAGCCTCCTCCACCCTTGCTCATGCTCGGCATCATAGAATCGGCATTCCTCTCGAGTGTGTCTGACTGGTAATCGGGAGTTGTATTTATGAGTTTTTTTAAGGGAAGCTTTCCCTGTGTTTTTCATGGAAAAAGTGATTGAACTGACAGTGGAGTCTTGACCTTCCCCTGCTTGGTTTTTCTGAGCAGTTGCTTTTTTAGGTTTTTGTGTGTATTTTCTGCAACCGCCCATTTCACAGGTAGACGACTCTTGTTTAACACGTAGCGTACATGTATTTATCATCATTTTCTTGTTTTGCTGTTTGTTTCAACAAAGGTATTGCTGTTTTCTAAATGTTGCTGGTCTCTTATGTTGATGCATTTCAAATATGTTATTGCTTCATCTGCCAAATTGTAACATTAATTTAACTTAAATGAGATGGCTTTTGACTGTTTTCAATTTTTTTTACACTTTGGAAAAAAAAAGCAACAGTATTTCCCAAAAAAAATGTATGTGGATTCTTAAAACAAGTGTAATTTTTTTTTTCTATTTTTGTTACGACGGAAAACTGCAATTAAAGGGGAATCCACGATTGTGTGCTTTTTTTGGGGGGGTGCTTGGGTTTGTACCGACGGGGACCAATAGATGGCAGTATAGACTAGGGCAAAATAAAAAAAAATGGGTCAAAAGCCCAAATTAATAGCTTACTGTCTTGTAGTTAAAAAAACATCAATATAACAATGAGTTTGACCAATTACAAACATACGTCTTGACTTCAGTGTGAATAGACCGACCCACTTTTGATAACAGTATTTTATTTTTTTTACCTTTCCGGTCCTACTTGAAGCGCTGTCACTTCTTCAAATGTGGGTGGGTGGCTCTTAATTTCACGTCAAGGCACAAGTAAATGGCTCCTTTGTGATTCACCAGCATAAATAGCAACAAGTCTCCACTACTATCTTAAAAAAAAAAAAAGGCACTTGATTGCAGCTGCAGCATTAGAACGCTTCGATGCCCCCCCCCTCCCCCCCAAGAGACCTCTCCACTAATTCAACACATCTGCATCTGGCCATGCTGAATTAGAATCATTTAATTTCTTATCATATTTGAGACTATGAACACCAGCTGTGACACCACGTAATTGTTATTTGCATACTGAGTAAAAATTAAACATGATGGTAAATAATCCATTAAGACTGGCAGATGTTTAATCACGTAGGGCTTCTCGGCAAAACGTAGCTATGATATTTTGTTTTACAGACAAGCGTACATTTTATTTTTATTTCCTTCTGCTGAATTTAATTGTTTGCTTTTTTTCTGCGGGGGTGCCTTTAAAGAACGCAAAGAAGAAAAGTTGAGGAACAAGAATGACGGCTCTCTCAAACTCATTGGGGAAAACAATTTGTGTCCTTAGTTTGAATTTGGGATGACGCTAATGACAAAAATTGTTTTGTCATTCCTCTCCAAAATATGACTTTTTGTCGTGCGTGTTTTTATTTTTGATTTTCATGAAAACCAACACTTGGCAATGGCTATACTGTACATTGATTTTACATGCCAAATAATACATTATCAAACCTGTCACATTTCCTCTTTGGCAACTTTTCAACACGTATAAACCATGCTACCAACATAGCAGCTGCAGCTTACGTCGGCGTTTGCTTGTTTGCCATGCTTTCCTTTCTTTCAGAAGCTGCTTTCCATGGACGGAAGTCCGGGGTTAAGAGATTATTTTAACATTTTATTTGTTTATTTAACTTGTACTACAGCCTTTGTCAACTAATTCTCATGTAGTACGTTTCGTAGAACTCGTAGAAGTTTGGATTGTTTTGCCAAATCGATTACACACAATTGGGTCATGTTTTTCCAAAATTTCAAGCTTGAAATTGATGGGCATAATCCTCTTCTTCACAGTATTCAATTTCTTTGGGCGCATGGTTAGAAAAATGTAGTGGGGGTTTTCTCAGAAGATTGCAGGACAAAACACAATCCGCATGTGTTGTTCCACTAGAATGTTTCCACTTGCTTGTGCATGTTGGGTGCTGTCCTTCCTCTGAGCATCCTGTTCAGACATCATGAGGACGTCGGTGGGCCTCCTATCACTCCACCTGCACACTGACCTGGTCTCACTAGCCTCCCTTTTAAGCGGCTCAGGTTAGCTCCTAAGCTGATATGCGGTTTCGCGTTTCCAAGCCTTTATTGAGCCAAATCACATCATTAGCCTAACACCTTAACTGAAACTTACCTACTCCCAAAGTATTTACTCATTATGAAATCTGTGTCGGCGTACCAGCTAGCTAGCTATTTCTCGTTACTTTATGAATGGCAACCACTGGTTAATTCTACCCTCTGCCCTCTAGTGGAAGTGATCGACATTGTTCTGCAGGTCACGATATGTCGCTGGCAAAGACAGCTTGCAAAAGGTCACATGACCAGATGTGAAGACTCACAAACAGGTGCACCGTGATTGGTTGTTACCGGAGCCCTGAGCAACTATGATGTCATTTTCAGTTGACTGCAATTGGCAAAATGGTCGCCCCCCCCCCCACCCCCACCCGCTGAGATGGATTAAAAATGGCTGCTTCATTCATTTTACACAAATACAATATTAATCAGAAGGCTGCTTCGACTAGTCACTAGAAAATAAATTTTCTGACTTGACTCCCACTTTTAGTGAAATTGTATAATTTCCCATGATACATCAGCTGATCTTTCACGGCCCGCGAATGTGCCACGTTACAGTGGTTGGAAATCACCGCTCGAGAACATCTCGTCCCCTCCGTATTTGGATTACTTGGAGCCTGACGACTTCTACGCACAAATGATCTTATATGGTTCGCAGCGGCCCCCAACGAGAAGGCTGGAGAGGATCAGCCCAGTTCCATTAGGTGTTTAAATTGTTTCCATGAGAGGCGGCAAGTGGCTGCAGGTCAGTGGGTGTCCTCCGCCTCATTTCCGACCCAGCGGCGTGAAGAATCCAACAGAGGTGGAAAATAAGCCCACTTTCTCTTTAGATCGCTGCAGGCTCTGTGATCTGATTGGTTGGTCTACTTTCTGGTCCACAGATACAAATCGTATGTGAGTGTTCGTGAAGGCTCCAAATGATTTGTAGTTGTGATCGGTAGTCTGCCCCTGTCTATGTGTCAGCCCTGTGATTGACAGGCAATCATCATCATGCTTTCACCCTGAGTCAGCTGGGATCCGCTCCAGTTTTCCAGCGACCCTGAACAGGATAAGTAGTATGGAACATGGATGGCTGGTGTGTGTCTCATGGGAGAGAAAGAGGGATCGGATCATCGAAAGAGACTGAAGACAGTACACATACTTTGAAACTGTACTTATGAGTATGTTTTCCGGTATTTGTATTTGACTATTTTTCTAATAAAGTTTTACTTTTGCTCCCCACTTTTAAAAAACATCTATGTGTACTTTCTGCCTCTTACTTTGTTAAAATAGGGTTGGTACTTTTTTAAACCTCCTAGGATGATCTTAAAAGTAGTCCAATTGCCTTCCATTCCACTCGTTTTGGGAATAGACAGGACTAGATTGCAAAATTTAAAAGAACCTCTGAGGTAAAGTACTTGTGAGTGTGTCGCGATTACACCACATTATTTTTAATTAAAACCAGATGTAAAATAGCATGTCTCTTTTTCCTCAGGGAGTACAGTTGAAAACATCTCAGTAATTTTTTTTTTTTTTTTTACAATAATGTCATTTGCACGCGCGCTCGAGAGCACACACACACACACACACACACACACACTCACCGTTGAAATCGCTGTTGTTTATTTAACTATTAAATGATAGATTGAACATTGAGAGTGCGGTCGACAGTTTTCTGTCCTTGTTTGGTTGGAGCTTCTCAAAACAACGTGATTCGTAATTACACGCAGGTGACTGTGAATCAGACGACAGTGTCAGACATTATTGAATATTCATTTTCACGGTGAACTTTTAAAGAAACTAAAACGAATGTTGTAATGTGGAGTTCAACCAGCACTATACTGGTTTATTTCTCTACACTTGTAAAAGTATTTATTTGTCATTCCCAGAGCAGCAACAACTAGCTACCTCTGATTGCCCAACACAGCTAACACAAGAGGATGGCTTGTGTCTGTAAATAATCAGCATTTATGGTGAGTATGATGGCTTTTATTTAAAGTTTGTATGTATTTGTCATGTTTTTAGATACGTATTAATTGTGAACTTCTATATCGTCGTGTACAGGTATGAAGTTGATATAATGGAAGATAAGATTTTAGCATTTCTTGCTCTAATAATAATAATGGCCACTCCAATACGCAAAATGCCCCCGTCTCTCTGAAATGCCATGCATAGTTTTATTGCGTTTTGGCGCTCTCCCAAAAAAAAGACTTTAACCCATTGTAGTTCCATTGGCTAGTTTCTAGACATACATTTACAGTATTGAACGACACTCAATATATTTTTGAAACATCCAATGTTCTCATTTTGACTCGTATCCTTTGGCACAAAGCTCCATCTAGGTTCTCTTCTTCTTCTGTCGCCATGCTTAACAAACCTGAAGGGACCAATTAGGAAAGAGAGGAGACTGCTAAAAGATAAGGCCAATCTCATTATTGATTGTGTCCTATGAATAAATGCATGAAGGAGACAAGCTGTCTTCCTGGTGGGCTTTTTGTTTCCATTTAACATTCACCATCTCCTCCAATAGGTATTTAATGCAATGATGACTTAGCAAAAACAGCATTACGGGCTCCAAAATAGATTTACAATATATGTCTTGTTTAGTATTTACTCATGCAGTTAATGAAGGACGCAGCATGCACGATCCAGTAAGATCTATGGCTCGCTTTGGATTGCCACACTCTTTCATTGGAGCTCATTAGATGAATTAAAGTTGCATTTAAAGCTTCTTTTATGAAGTGCTTCACAGAACTATGCCAAGCTTGCTGGTGTGACATAACCTGCCATCAGATTCTGACATTTTTCTAGTTACAGCCACATCACAAAGACTATATTCCACAAATGTGATTTTTAAAGTTGGGGGGCGGGCACAAAGTAGATCAGAAGCTTGTTCCGCTGCAGGCTCCTGTTCAATACGATTAGAAGACTTGAGAATGTGCTTTTGGAGTATTTTGTTCAGGGAGCTAAGATACTGTGGTTAATGTGGTCCAATGTTTTGCACCTGAGGGTTGTGGGTTATGCTGCCTAAATACAGTAAATCCTCCCAATCGCACAGTAATCTCTTGCTCCAAGGTGAGCATTTCCCATAAAATGTAATGATCACAGAGTGTTTGCATGCTGTACAGTATCTGTAGAAGAAAGCAGTGACTCTGTACGAGTATATGAGAAATTTCACTGAATTGATCCCCCCCACTCCTGAATTATTTAAAATAATATTGTGTTGAATTTTCTTTCTTTTTTTGTTGTTGTTGTCAAGTAGTTCCACAAAATCAGCATTAAATTGACTGAAATCAACAAAAAAGTTTTTCAGCGTACAGTTAAACCAGCAATGTTTAGCGACAGGCAGAAGAATTGAATGGAGAATTTTCTATTTTTAATTCATTTGATTTGGCACCTTTCTTATATTTGCTGTAAAATGTTTGTTCCTGTATTTTATTACTTTATAACTATGTGAAGCACTTTGTGAATCCTCTCTGTGTAAAGTGTTACATGAGTTAAATTTACTTCCAGGGTCGAACATTGTGCCTTGCCGCTTCAGATCATTGGAAATTGAGCGTCATATTTTTTTCCACAGACTTCTTGTATTGGATGATATGAGATTGTGCAAGCGGTGTCAGTGTTGCGGTCTGCGTGATGGATGGAGGTGGTTGTGCAGCTCCCGGCAGCACCAAGCTCCTCATTAACCTATGGTAATGCGCTTGTCACCCCCGATTCAGAAAAGCCTTGGTGCCACATTTGTCTCATGAGGCTCCATCTATCTCACCCACTGTAGTTTGGAAGAATATTGCTGAGTGTGCGCCAGTGTTGGCCAGAGCAGTTGGAGGTGAGTGAATCCCCCCTCTTCCTCCTCCTCCTCCTCCTCCTCCTCCTCCTCCTCCTCCTCGGGTGACGGTATCTAATAGGATCTAGCATTCCCTGACCCACTGAGAGCTGGGCTGATTTGAGTGCTCCAGCTCTCGCTAGGGGGGGGTTGCGTTTGCACTACAAATGCGGGAGCCACTTCAAATTGGCAAGAGGCGCAATCACAGCATGGCTCGGGTAGATGAGGTTGCTCTCGCCAGTCGGGCGACGGTTAAGCACGGTAAAGCTGATGCGTTAACATGAATTTTGGCCTTCCCAGAATGTCTTCATTCTCTTCAGTAGATGTCTTATTTACCTTCGCTCAATTCTTCTGCCCTCCATCAAGCCTGCGAGTCATTTATTTATCTTTGCGCGTTCAGTGCCAGGAACGTACTAGCGAGCTTGCGGGAACTTGAGGAAGTCTGTCTGGAGCCACGATGGAGGCTTTGTGGAGGGATGGTAAATCAGTCTGGGGATCTTATGTTTGAAGCAGAAGGACACAACGTCTGGGGTACTTTTGCGGCTGTTTAGTTTGGAGCTTTACAAGTAGCTGCCGTTATTTAATCTGTCAGATGGTTGAGAGACGGGAGGCGCTGAGCCGCTCTCATCTGACGCTGAGCAGCCTTTGGAATTTGCATTTTCCAGTGTTGGCAGCACTTGATCATGATTAAAGAATGAGCATGTGTGGTGCCGGGCCCGACTCTTCAGTCACTTTCATCCCGTGCCGCAGCACTCTCTCTGAGGACAATCAAATCTGACTGTCTTCACGTCTGCGGAAAATCACCACTGTTTGTTTCAGTTAGATAGCAGCTGCTCTCGTTCAGGAAACACATAAAAAAAAAGGAGGGACATCTACACATGGATGGGACCGGGCCTTCCTGTTTAATGAACTGCTTCCTGAGGGGACCTTATCAAAAGACGTCGGTGACTGGTGGAGCATTGACATGTCTTTGTTCCTGCAGAGGAAAAAGCTGCAGCATATTTTGACAATGCACACTTCCTGATTCCTGACTATGGGATCGTTAAAGTGATTGCAGTTGACTAGTTGCTGATACATCATTTATATTTTCTCTTTTCAGCTCTTTTCTCCCTCACCTACCAAAGCTGTGCATTTTGAAATAAAACAATTTAAAACAATTAATATGACAGACAAATTGCCTTCAGAGCAGTCATCTGTTGCTGCAAGTGGCTCTGCAGCCTCAGAGCCAAAAGCATCAAAGCATTCATTATGTAACATCTCAATGTAGATTCCCAACCGGGGTCTAATTAATTTCCTCTTTCTACAATATGTCAACAACTTTTACTTCATTTTGATGTGTTTATGGCAGGGAAAAAAAATCTACCTGAACAGTTAAAAATGGTAGTGGTGACAGTATAAACTTGGAAAGGATTATAACAAGGTGTCTTTCATTTACAATTGAGTTCCGTTCCTACAGCAGCGATCTAACACAAATTTGTTGACATTTGTCACACACCATAGTGTATCACTAACTCATGCTAACACAAGAACAAAGTCATGGCGAGGCAAATTTTGGATGAGAAACGCTACTGGACTACACATATAAAACAATCGAAATCTACTCCAAATTATGCTGTATTTTTATTTCCAAATGGTTTAAAAAAAAATCCACTGATCAGGAGCTTCGACATCTTTCGCAAGGACTCCCATTGCTGCTTGGACTGGACTGAAAGGGAATCAATAATTTTTTGATTTGGGAGACTCATCTTTGCCATCAGTGCTTCAGGGTAGTGACATAAAACAAGAGAAGACTCTTCCTTCCACAGACTTCAGAAGCTGGATCATTTTTTAAACGCCTCAACGAGTCTGCTCACGTAATGAGGGCAGAGTGGGCATCTTTAACATGGCGTCCGGCTGTGTTTCACGTGTGACCGTGCAGGCTAATGGCAAAAACAGAACGAGCGGGAGTAGAACAAATCAGCCCCTTTCGGTGAAGAGAACGTAGTGCTCATTTGTGCAAGAGAGAAATCAAAATGAGCGGAAGGAGGCGAGAGCAGAGCGGATGGCCTTCCGTGGAATATTCTCACATGCTGATTAGAGGAGCCATGTTAATGAGATTCATTGACAGCCTAATGTGGAGAACAGCGTGCCCCCCGCTGGGCCTGTCTGCTCTCTTCGTCTTTGTCAGCCCCTTTCTCACATAAGTCGCTGGGTTTTACGCTCCAGCAATCTGGCCTTTATCATCCAATGAATCACATGTACTGATTTTTAACATCTGAACCGAGAGACCCTACCCACAAGGGGAAAGAAAAAGGTGAAACTTTTGGCAATACAGCTTGCCATGAGAAACACGTGAACCCGTGAAAAAAATATTCACCCCATTTTACGACAGCTGAGTGGGTTTTTTCATTCGCACTGTGACTGCTCTCCATCCCGTTTTGTCCACAGTGCACTGAAATGCAATTGCCATCGGGAATATAATGTAAAAGTAGGATACCATTAGACACCGTTTGCAGTCATCAAAGATCATGAAAATGTTGGTCAAAATTATAACAATATCAGGACAAAGTTACATGTTGGTCAAAATTATAACAATATCAGGACAAAGTTGTCATCACGTCACGAGACCAAACACAGAAAACAGCTGAACTGCCAGAGGGCAGTTTGATGTGAATTTTAGTTGACAGCAGAGGGCGATATTAAGGCCAAAATGGCAGCGGATAGATTATTCTGCTGAATTGATTTTCCACAAATATATTATTAATCAAACTACCATATTTGGACTAGTACGTAGAGCATTTTTTCCCCAAGTTCCTCTTTAATGCTCCCTGGTCCTTCACATTCTGCATTGAAATCCCCCAAACCTCAATCAGTCAAGCTCTCAATAGCGGTTGACCTTACGTCTCTCTAATTCCGTCTTTCATATATTCATCTAAAAATCGGTCCTTTGCTGACTTTGATCGGAAAGGAGGAAAAATGCCCAAATTTGTCATGATTGTCTTGATGTGAGTACCCTGCACGGTGCCAAAAGACAGGCCGGCAGCTGGGCTGCATGAACACAAGTAATGATAAACAGGACGCTGATGATGGTCCTTTTGCCTACCGTATAAGCGCCAGCCGCTCAGATGCCGTCACGAGACGGCTCCATTATGCGTGTGTCCAAATCTGCGTGGCAAATTCCTGAAGAGCCATCAGTGTGAAGGGAAAGTAAAGGGAGCCCAGATGTTTTAGTTCAATAAGCTTAAGGATGAGTTCATGGCAAGAACATCTGAGGCTTTCAGATCTGTTGATCCAAAAAGGATCGTCTTAATCCAGCCTGGTTCAACTATGCATGTGTGATAGCCGATGTACCAGACTGTCAGCCAGTTCAGAAGAAATGTGACCTATTTTACACTACGAATATGTAGAATAAAAACAACACACAGACATAAGAAAATAGTTTGTGCATGTAAACAAATGAGTGAAAAAGAGCATTTGAAGAACAGTGTCACTGATTTTGGGCAGGGGGACAGTTACACCTTGAGTGAGGCGCTGAGAAAAAATTTTATGCGGCCCGTGTCAGGGAACACCTGCTTTTGTGAAAGGCCTGAATTCACAAGGCATTGACTTTGGCGCGACAGCCCACCCGCTGAAAAGGTTGACGGAGAGACAATTTTTGAACTGGCCAAATCCCGAGTTGAGTTCACGAGGCAGTGATTTTGGTGCTCCGTCCCACCCCTTAAACAGATTGACGAAGAGACAGTTTCAACCACAGCTCAATCCCTGGTGGTCTAGTGGCTAGGATTTGGCGCTCTCACCGCCACGGCTCGGGTTCGATTCCCGGTCAGGGAAAACCTGATTTTGTGAATGGCACGAGTTGAGTTCACGAGGCATTGATTTTGCTGCTCCGTCCAACCCCCTGAACAGATTGACAAAGAGGCAGCTTCAACACCAGCTCACTCCCTGGTGGTCTAGTGGCTAGGATTTGGCGCTTTCACCGCTGCGGCCCGGGTTCAATTCCTGGTCATGGAATACCTGCCTTTTGTGAAAGGCATGAGTTCACGAGGCATTGACTTTTTCCCAATGGCCCACCCCCTTAACTGATTGACAGAGAAACAGTTTCTTGAGTCACGTCATCCCTGATGGTCTAGTGCACATATGTCAAAGTGCCGGCCCGCGGGCCAAATCCGGCCCGCGAGAATGTTTTCAGTGGCCCCTGGGATGACATTGATTTATTATTAGAACCGGCCCCCGGACTGCAGCAAGCCGAGAGCCCGCAGATCTTTTACACGCACCAAAACTACATTTCCCACAATGCAACGGTGACGCGCCAAGCAGTCGGCCGCTTTATTTAAATATTTATTCGTCTCGCAGTCGTTCCCATAACAGTGACATTAGCTTTCAGATACCCATCAAAAATGGCAAAACGGAAGGTGGACACTGAGAACCGCGGGTTTCAAACAAGGTGAGAGTCGAAGAACATGTTCATGGACGTAGCTGGAAAACCTGTGTGTCTTCTGTGTGGAGAAAGTGTGGCGCGATTCA